ATTCTGTGGACTGTTATAATAATTCAGGAGCAAATAGTCATGTGAAAAAAGGGATCAATGAAAGAGCACAATGGAAGATGCACAAAAGAGAGGTCCTCCCAAACCAGTCCAGGCACCTTGTGACCCAAGCTAAACACAGCCTATGTCCCATAGATGGTAGCCCAGCAAGCGTCCTCAGAAAGCTCCAGTCACTTTTGTCAAACTCCAGCAGCTCATACTGATCACATGGTTTTTACCATTCACTGAATCTCTTAAAGGTCTCTTCTGCAGCAAAAGATGACAATGTCTGCTTGAAAAAAATTATTTTATTTTCTTTAAAAATACAGTACACAGCAGTGTGTTTCTTTCCCACCCTGTTACTGCTGGTTCACAAAGATAACATGATAAATTTAACCCCAATACTAGGCTGTTATAAATCCTGAGACTGACTCAGTTACATGCTGATTTACATAAGACAATATGCTGAAAAAGAATAATCTTTCTTTTAACATAAAAGAGTCTCTTCCTGAACTTATGAATCAGATATAAAATTTGCAGAATTACTGTGCTGCAATGAACCAACCAAGGATTTCCCTGAAATCCTCATTGTGAATAATTTTACGTAAGGTGGATTCTAAATTGCTATATCAAGAAGTGGAAACATACTAAGTATAATGAGCACATGAGATATGGTATGATTTACCAAACATATCCGATACTTGAATACAGTGTTTCTCAACCTCAGCGAAGATGTGTGCATTCCAACTCCCGGAATATCCCAGCCAACATGCTGGCTGGGGAATTCTGGGAGTTGAAGTCCACACATCTTAAAAGTTACCAAGTTAGAAACTGCTTTAATAGGTGGTGGTGGTGGTTGTAACACCTGTTGAACTTTCATAGTTAAAGGGCTCAATTCTTCCATTTGTATAAGCACTTCCATAAATGTGCTTGCTTCATTTAAATTATCCAGTCTTACATAATCTTTGGGAAATATCCATATGTCAGCTGCATATGCTCATTAATAGTACTTGGTATCACACATCCAGCAGTGTGGAATTTTTTATATCCCTAGAAAAGACAAGAAATGTAAACCACCTCAGTTGTGTACATGAGTGCCTGCATTCCCTGTTGGCAGTATGTTGCAAAGGTGTATTTTGAGCCAAGCGACGTGATCCGCAGAATCACTGATCTAAACATTCAGCAGAGCCAGGCTTCCTTCATTTCAGGTTGCAGGCAGGCATTCACTTAAATGAGTAAGAAAGAAAGGAATTGTAGCTATGTTGGTTGACTAGGGGGGAAAAATTCACACTTGAGACTTTTGTCAGGATTAACCCAAACGATGCAAGGGTTTGCAAGCTTTCAAGCCAGTGTGTTTTGCTAGCGGAGAAGACAGATTGGGAACGGGGGTTTTGTTTTTAGAGTTGGGAGGCACCATATTTGTTTCTGATACTAATTGCATTGCTAACAATTTAGTCTACAAACAGCAGTTTGAGATGGCGTCTATAACAGCTAGCGTAATCTTGGGATTTTCTCATTTCTTTTCCAGACTCTGCTTTCTGTAACATCCTATCTGAAGTTCAGGAGAACTCAAAAGCATGCATGTTTTTGTGCTGTTCTGTTCAGTCTTAATGCCGTTATTACCAAATTGATTGAAAAATCTTTCTTAAATAAAGAACCCTATGCATGTCAGGAATAATGTAGCAACTCTTTTTTGTGACATTTGTTTCTTGTATGCAGAGAGGTTTTAATTTACAAGAAATACAAATGATACTTGCACCCATATATATTCTGTGGTATCAGTATCAGGAAAAGCCGCATCATGATTTTGCTAACACTGTAGCTTTTTCCTCTTTTTTTTTTAATGCTTGGGGTAACATTTAACTGGCTGTGTTCTATTGAAGATAATGAAATTTGGGTGTGTTTCTGCTGGAACACACCCAAAAGTCTACATAATTTTGTAAATGTAAATTACATGGGTGATACCCTGCATTTCCCCCCACATCTTAGACTTCCACGGTGACTTAGGTATTATTATTTGATTTTTAATAACACTGGTGACACACTGTAAACATGTGTTGAACTTTATAATCATTGGGTCTTCAGGAGGAGGAGGAGGAGGAGGAGGAGGAATGCAGTTATACATTAGGCTTATTTTCCTTTCCCTCTTAATTCTGTCTGATGCTTTCCTGGCATATCCAATAAATTTCCTGAGATATAGAATAAATAATTGGAAAGATGGTAGTACTTTGGTTCAACTTTGTACCATTTTGAAGACCACTTTTCAAGAAACCTTCAAAAGACCTCTCACCACCTACAGAACCCAAACTAAAGCAGTTATAAAACACTGAATCTCCTGGCTGTCAAGCTGTAAAACAGCCTAGCTTAATTTTTCCTACTGTTTGAAACATCATGTGGAAATAACCTTATTTAGGAGCCTTTATCTCATTTTCAAGAGACACAAGCAAGTTTTAGCCATTCATATCATTCTATACATTGGAGTTAGATTAGGCTAGAGAATTTTCCATGTATTAGTAGAAGAGATGACTTTGGGATCTTGCCATGGTAAAATTCAATCTTCATTCATGTCAATAAAGCAGGGAACTGGTGTTACAGAACACCTGTTTGCAGCTATTGCACTAAAAGTGACCACTGCACCATGACCAGATATAAGGTGGTTCACAACAATGGAACTTCTTTTTTTCAGGGGTGGGGAGGAAGTGGGAGAAATGAAATGGAAGCAGATATATCAAGAGATGGTGTTCAAATTCTGAGTGTGGGCTACTAAAAGGTGAACCAATTCTCAAAAATCACACTCTTTTATATTATTTGAGGCCAATAGGATGCTTTCACTGTACATGATCTGTGACTTATTCTTGTCCCTACATCTAATGTAGCTACGGTAGAGACTATATAGATAGCCTAGGTCAGTGTTGTCCAAACTTGGCCACTTTAAGATGAGTGGACTTCAACTCCCAGAATTCCCCAGCCAGC